ATTGAACACCTCGTTGATACTCGTCTCCTTATTTCTACAGCCTATTGCTCTAGTGTCGTCTAAAAGTCGAAAAATAACCCACCCGAATCATTATATGTTTGGCTCATCTATAATATTGCTGAAATGTTGGCCTTCAAAATGAATAGTTAGGTATCTGTATACAGAAATAGTCTGTTCAACCCCTCCATCTTTCATAGTCTTATAATCCGTCAATACTAATGTATGATAATCCCCATTTCTACCTTTATCCTATTGATTTTTATTCAGCTTGTTTATCCTTCCTTTCTTAACGTCGATTGTTATTTATTAATTTAACTTTAAACAATTTCCGGTATTATCTCACCTGTCACCGTTTATTGATTTGATTCAGTATAATACTTTTTTGCAATGTTGTCTTATTACAAGTTTCGCCTTATTGCGTAATATCATAGTCATGTAATTTATAAAACAGTTCATGGAATGAATAAATCTCAAAGGGGGAGGGGGATATGGAAATCATAAATTAGTGGGTAATTAAAACATTGTGCAACAAGGTGGTAATTATGATAAAACAATATTGAAAGATTTTGTCAAACATTTTTAAAATTATAGATAAGATTTTATTTGATAAATCACACAGTGTTATACAGTAATATTAACTGATGACTTGATATGATTATGAGTAATAGTTTGTGTACGAAAGGTCATCAGTTAATATTACTGTATACCACTGTGTGTGTGTATGATTTATCAAAATAAAATCTTATCTATAGTGGAGTTATGCTCTACCACAGTGCCCAGCTTTATACTTATTTATTTAAAATTTTCTTTATTCCTTTACGTTCCCAGTGGAACATAGGGCTTCAAGCAAGAGGTTTGAATTTTCTGTATTGGTGGTGATTATTTTTTACAGGATCAGGTTGCTAGCCTCCTCATGCCCTACATTCCCTCTTCACCAGTCTTACTACTGGCCTAGTGAGGTAAAGGAGTGCGTCAGCTAGGGATCGATCCCCGGGCCACCAGCGCTGTTGGTGAGTCCTCTACCACTGTTCCACCGACTCTATGTCAAACATGAGTTAGTCAAATCCAAGATCAACATTTCGAAAGCTGTATTATAGCAGGAACCAATACCCAAAATTTTTCTGGAAAGTACTCAGACGAATTCGGCTTTTGTTCAAACACCAACACTTAATCGAATTGATGCAATCAGTTTTCGTGTTGTGGAGTTAAATAGGAAGATACCTTTGAGAAGTTGTACTTTTTATTAACTGCCCAGCTGATGAACAGCAGCAATATAAGAAATACAATTCCCAGTTCAAGTTTGACAATCTCAAACTTCATGACAGCTTCAAGCAGATGTTATAGCAGAACAGAGATTTCAGACTGATCGCCATAACTATGTGTTTAACTATTTAATTTTGTCATTATTTCGAAAACTCAGTTACAAAGCTCCATCACGGGTACGTATGTTCTGCAACAGTGTATCCATAGTCAACAGATTCCACATTCTCTAGTGTAATTTGAAAACCTAATCAGTCAGACTTCTGATCTCGTAACCGCATTTCCGAAGGAATTCCAACATTTCAAATAAACACTTCTTGATTACTACCACCAACTTACTAACACAAAATCCAGATTGAGGAATCTGTTAACCAAAGAGAATATAAACCAAATTAAAGAATTAAACGAGAATAATGATAACCTGACAAAAGTGCATGTGTTGTCGTAATGAGTTTTCAAGAATGTATCAGTCAGATCCCAGTGAACAAACCTGTCCGGCCTCCTTTATGTGTATCTGTCTATCACGTTAAACACTCAAGAAGAACAAAGTATATAGATCGTAGCCAGAGAATACTTTCCACAGGGATACAAGAGCACATTTTAGTATGGTTTTATAACAAGGAAGAAAAGAAGAGTGTACGAAGTTGTACTCTAGGACATTTGACTGAATTCTGTCACTTTACCAACCCCCTGACCATGATTTTAAAATCATCTATCGGATTCATGCTAGTTTGCTGTGTTTCCATAGTTCTGCACTTCTGAAGACAGTGGAATCTTTGGTCATCCATGAATTCAAACCAGACCTTTGTGTAAAGTCCCTGCCTCTACACTGGTCTTGGAAAAATTAACATTTAATTATTTTTGTTTTGCTTATTTAATCCGCTTATCTTTCTCTTATTACTACAACCATTATCATTATTATTATTACTATTTTTTTCTTATCTTCTTGAACAGTTTCCGGTATTAATTCACTTGTTCTGTTTATTATTTTCAATCGGTAGGTTTTTGAAATGTTAAACTCTATTTTTATCAAACTTCTCACTATGTTACGTAATGTTTTAACTGATTACTAATCCTGTTAATCTCATAATTTTACATCCCTGTCCAAGATGTATACATTCTATGAACTATTTATTCTATGTATGAAATCCGTCTTATTAACAGATATTTAAGTATGATTATAATCAAAAATTTTCAAGAGTTAATTTGTAGGGATTTGATTTATTTCCAAATTTGACCATAGATTGATTATATCAGTTAGAGAGCAAGGGGGGAGCACTGGGCAGCCAGCTGTTTCGTCCTACTTTGGGACTCGCCTACGATGCGCGCCCATTAGGGTCTGATATAGGACTTTCCGATTACAAGTCAGACTTGTAAACAAGTATTTTCACTGTATTTCACTGTAGTATTATTATTATTTTTTTGGTATTCACACCTTTGTCTAAATTTTTCACAGGATGTAATTTCTAAAAACCACATAATTGTAATAACCTGGTGGCTAGCCACCTAGAATGGTGGCCGCAGTGCAAACTTGACTGACAATAGAATTCAGTCTGCAGTAAGCAAAGGACTAGACACATGACACTAGTTACTAGTGTCCAATCAAAGTATCTAATACATTCCTACAGGAAATCGATCAAGAAGCCAAAAGACCTTACTGGTACCGTTTCTGACTGCGAAATTGAATCACCCAGTTTCAAATCTCAGAAAGGACATGAGTTCCTTCAAAGTTGAAGATACGCCTTGCAAACTGATGAGTGCCAACAAGCACAAAACCTAGGTTGGACAAGACTCCCTGCTAACTGCCTCCAACCATCTGATATATATATATATATATATATATGATTGTGTAGGTTGATATTAAATTCTTTGAAAAGAGTCTCTTTGCTGGACATTGTGTTCTTAGTATTCCAATGAGAATTAATAAATTAATGTTTCAGCAACCTGATAATCTGACTATCTATCCCCTTCATCTTTTGTATTACATAACTTTTAATTACGCAAGATTTTGACCTAATATAATTATTGAATTGTTAACGTAATCATGTAACCTTAATTATTCTTATCGCCACCTGCATCAACTATTTGTATGTTTGTTATTACTATTATTATTATTATCGTTATAACTAGCGTCATATTTACAAAATTTAACACGTCTGAACCATAGATTCACCATCATATAGGAAAGATTTAACTGAAAGCAATATATTTTCCCCCAACAGACTTCGTTTTAATCAGATAGGTTGTGTTGTATTCATCTAAACTCACATAGTGTATCACTTAATGCAGCAGACCTCGACAAATTTAAGTGATATTTGCCCAGTGGATGAGCAACTGGATGCTTTGACAGAATAGTTCTAATAAGATGCACTTAACAAAAAGAAATTTCTATCACATCAAAAGATCTCGAGAACAGGTGTTCGGACATTTGGAAAATTCTACTAACCTTTCTAAGAATAGGAAGAATGTAAAGAAAAATTATCAAACGGAAGTTTCAAAATTGTATGTAGCTATAACTGATATATGACTATGAACAACAAAATGTGTTTGGAATTGTGTCATCCAGTGTAAATAATACCGTTACACTGTATGATATACTTAACAAACAAATTAATATGAATTATATACTAACGCACTGCCCAAGTTCTACACACATACATGCACTTTTGCCTTAGATGCTATTTTACTATCAATCGTATGATTCATATCATATTTAAAGAATTTTCTGAAAATGATTATTATAAAGACGTGGATTAAATTTCATTAATTTCGTACCATGATTATTACATTAAAAATATTATTGTACATTATGGGGGGGTGAAATACTAATAAATGTGGGTATATGAATTTCTACACCAATTAAAATAATGTTGAATTTTAATTGGTTGAATGAATTAGATGATAGGGGGTGAGAAAATACTGATGGCAGATAGAAGACACTACAAAAAACTAAGCCTTGCGCATTTAACCAATAAGAACTAAGCGATAGGTTAAATCATATTTAAATTAGTTAACTCTTTAATTCTAGGGCAGTTCATTCATTAAAAATTGTGGAAGACTAACTGAATTAAATTTTCGAATCTGGTAAGTATGAATACCTAATTTGTTAAATGTATTTCATTTTATTTTTTCTTCAAATTTAAAGATGTCTAAATTATTTTAAATCATGTAATTAGAGCAAAGAGAGTATTGAAAAATCAGGTTGAGACTTAAAACTCACTTATGAACTTTTCTAATAGAAGGTTATCACTCATTCATGTACGACATTTTGGTTCATGACGTCACTTGATATTGTTGTAGTTGTGTTCGCTGAGCAGGATGATTTCACTGATAAGTTTTAATTACCTTTCTAAATAGCATCTTCAGTAGAGGCTTCAGTGTGAAGTCGATGTCTAGAATTCTCGTGGAGAATTAAAGTCTCCCCTGAAGATATCGTCTAGAAAAACAATGAAAATTTGACAAATACTTTATTGAGCTATTCTAATATTGTCCATATGAGTTACAATTTTTCTCCACTAAGTTTTTACTTAGTTTTTTGAATTGTTAACTGCCCCCCCCTGACGCCAGCTCTCACCCAAATGAATATCACTCATTTAACTTATAAGTATTTTCAACACTACTTTAGGTTCACTTAGTAAAAGTGTTTTCAAGTATTGTACACCATATCCATTTTATTGTTGTTGATTTTAAATCTATTAGATTACATCATTTATTTATGCGTTTATTTGCTTTATTTTCAGCTTGAAATGAGTTTTACAATTGAAACATTATTGAAAACTGATGATGCTTTACCATCGAATAAATTAAATGAATCAGTTGAAAATTCAATTGATTTTAATCCAGAAGAAAATCTTGACCATGTAGAAGAGTATCAGTGTGATTCTTACCTTCGTCATCATCATTATCCTCAACGAAGACATAGTTCTGGTAAGTCTTTAAAAAAGTTAATAATTACAGTGTTATTTTTGTGTCATATTATTGACAGAAAGTTAGTTGGTTGAAAGCACCCAGATGGAGATTCATCACCATCTCTGCCTACAGCAGTGGGTGATGTGGCACTAACTTACTCGAGTTTTAACAGATAAAGCTTACTGACGACTGTTAATAAGTACGGAACGGAAAAGCAGGGCTTCTCTTATTACCATGTGCTTCCAACTGTCTAGCACCTGTCATGCCCCTCTTTTTCTAGTCTACCATCAACTATTAAGTGAACTAGGTGAAGTCTAGGGGCGTGTCGTTCGGGAATCGAACCCAGACCAGGTGCGTCGTCGGCATGAGTCCTACCATTGAACCTTGCGATGCAAATGATTATAAACTACCAAAATTTCAACCTTTCGATAGTTGACATTTAAAACAGGCTCTTTTCAGATTAGTTAATTTTTTTAAAGAATCATTTATAAAGTTATTACTGACCCATTTATTTATCTGTCTGACGTGTTTATTTATACTTAGACTCGATAGAACAACAACAACACGATGAAAGACATTCATCACACTTATCGGATAATCCTCAAAATGAATTGAATATATCCTCCAATTCATGTCCACCTAGTCTTTATTCCTTACAATCGACACCTCCAGATATGAATCGACAATTACTGTCATCTTCTAGTCCATTTCAACAAGTATCGCCTCAATCATCATCATCATCGTCTTCTTCATCACCAGTCACCTCTTCATCATCAACCTCCCTGTTGTCCTCGACGACTGCTACTACAACTTTCTTAAGTTCACCTCATTCAAATTCAATGCACAACAATAGTGTATCACCAAATAATGATGAGAAATCCTCCAATGTGATGACTGACAATGATTATAAATCGAACAGTATTTCACCAAGTAGTCAACAAGAAAAATTTGAATATTTGAATTTATTAAAAAATGTACAACATAGTCATCAGAATTATTCCATGATTATCACTACAACTACTACTACCTCCACCACTACTAAACAGATTTATAACCATTGTAAAAATGTAAATAAAAAATCAATAAATTATTTAAATTCAAATTTAAATATCAAATCATCCTTTCATTCTGATCGTCATCATTCACACAACCATCATCACTCCCAACAACAACAGCAACAAAAACATTATATTATAAATCCATTACGACCAAGACGATTGAGGACAACTTTTACTACATATCAATTGCATACATTAGAAACAGCTTTCCTATTGAATCAATATCCAGATGTTGCAGCACGTGATCAATTGGCAAATCAATTAAATTTATCAGATGGTCGTGTACAGGTATGTTCATTGATCAAACCATTTTATTGTTACTGTTTTAACTAAGTTAAGTAATTCAATAATTAAAAGCATAGTGATGAGTGAATAGTGCTCACCGAGTCACATTTTTTCTTTTCTTCTCAGTTTAATCGTTTGCGTTTCGAATATGAATACTTAGGAATTCAAGCTTGAGCAGTGAAGGTTTAGTAGTAATGGTGTTTATTTTTTAATGAGGAAGCTGCTAACCCCATGACCTACTTCGTTATTTCCCCGGCTTGCTGCTATTCAAACGAAGATCCTGGGAGGGAGGGGAGGGGGGAAAGTCGGTTGGGAATCGAAACCGGGACCGCTTAGGAAACGACTTATGCTCTTTGAGTTACATTAGTTATATTTGTGTATCAATTGATACTTCATCTTAAATTATGGAACATTTAAAGAGTTGGAGGCGATCAGCACGAAGCATGACACTAGTTATCGACTACTTAGTGTTCAATTAAAATATCTAATACACTACCACAGAAAGTCAATTGCGAGCCGAAATAATTCAGTGGCAACTTCTCTGACTACAACACTGAGCGACACGGATTCGAATCTCAGATGGAAGATGAGCTCCTTCAAGGTTGTAGGCACACATCGCTGACTGGTGAGTGCTAGGCAGCATGAAACCTAGTTAGTCCAAGGCTTCCTGCTGACTGCCTCCAATCATTGAATAAAAACAATTCAAAGTGTACTGTGATGGTGAGCCATCTACCTAACTAGCACAGTGGCTTCATCACAAACTTGACTGACAATAGAATTCGGTCTGCACCAACACCAAGGATTAGATGCATGACACTTGGTCTGATCTCAGTATCAAGGTATGCTGAAGATGATATAAGATTATTTTTATGTATGTAGAAAGGTATAATTAGTTAATCTACAATTTATTTTTCAATTTTGACCTATTTAAAGGTGATTACTAGTCAAAATATTTAAATATGATAGGATTTATAGGGATTTTGGATTCATTTCAATTATTAGATTTCCATCACCAATCGAGATCATTTGCAGAGATCACCGAAAACGGGACAGTACTGGAATGACGTTTTATCCTGTCTTTGGAACTCTTCATCAGTGTGCACCCATGATCCCATCAGGGATCGGACTTTAGACCCTCAGGTTAGGGCATTTATCTACTTAGTGAGGGTAACCCTATGTCACAAGTAGACGAAGTTAGAATTCAAGAGTCGCTGAATTCCATTCCAAGTGGTTGAATGGTCAGAAGGCTTGGTCGCGTATCCTGAAGATCCTGTGTTCGATATCCGATGACGTCGTGTGGGTGCGTACTGATGAAGACTCTCCAAAAAATCGGGGAATCATCTCTCCAGTGCCCCTCTAACTGAAGTTTGTTTCGTAACGTAAATCCAACAGTACTGTATACGAATCAGTTTAATTTTCTTTTTACCGGGAGGTTTTTCTTTATTCCTTTCGTCTGTGTGGAGTATACGACTTCAAGCTTTGACGTTTCACCAGCGGTGGTTTTGTGGGAGGGTGGAGTGGAGGGGGTTCTAACCTCACACTCAACCTTCCTTCTTCCCTGAGTTTTATTACCGGTTAATAAACTAGGTAAGGAGTGAGTCGGTTGAGAGTCGAACTCAGACCTGTCTTGTGTGTCTGATCATTACTCTACCACCGAACGACTGACGCATATTTGTTACAATTTGAATCCACACAAGTTGAGATAGATGGATAGATAGGCAGGCAGACTCAAAGAGATTTTTAATTTAATTTTTCAAGTGGCTAATTAAATTTGACGTAAAGATTTTATCTTTTTAAGTGTTTAATTTTTCATTAGAAGAGGCTATTTCCTCTTCTTCTTCTTCTGGCCATCTTCATTTGTTAGGTCTTTAATTCCTCCTTGTCTGGATTACATTGAATAATTAATTACATAACCTAGTTACAACAGATTAGTCATAATAATGCTAATAATAATAAGCTGAAAACACGCTGTCATTATCCACTTAAGTGTTTTATTTATTTATTTATTGAATCATTTTCCAAAAAAATGTCAACTCATCATTTTGCTGTTTCCAATTTAATCTGTCATCTACATAGATGTGAATTATTCACACCTCCGCCTCCCCCCTTGCCTCCACCCACGCACACCTACGTTAATTGACCTATTCATCATTAAGTCATTTTATTTAATTCTACACCAACCACCTATCCACCCACGCATACAAGCAAACATACATACATGTATACATATGAATATGGCAACAACGACAACAACTTAATTTTCGATACATTAATCTGTAAATTAGTTAATGTATCAATTGAGAGGAGGAAAATGGTAGATTTTTCCTCTCTTCAATTTTTCTTCTTTTGTTTTGTTTAAGTAAGGTGATGATTAAAATCTTTAGGCGACTTAGTTACTAAAGTCTTACTAATCACAGTTACCTAACAATGTCGGTGTCCTCCCCCTTCCCCTGTGTGTGCGTGTGTGTGTGTATGTGTGTCTGTGTCCGCCCAGGGTGTCTATCTGTAGGATTAATAAATTACTCCTAATCAAGATCTTCATTCTCTTTTCAATTAATTGTTTAATTTTGGTCTTGTTAAACAACATGAATCGACATATTATTGTGTTGTGGGTACTGTACGTTTGTCAATAAGGGGTGGGATTCATTTTAATTATAATAATAATAATTGATTTCCTTCTAAAGAGGGAAGAGGTTGACGAATTTTGAAAAAAATATTCTCTGAGTGTTATGACATAAGGGGAACTGAAGAATTGCCAGCTAGTAGGACATATTATATACGTATACATGTATATATATATATATATATATATATATATATATATATATATATTAGTTTGTAGCAGAGCGGCTGTAACTATGTCGGCCATTTTTTAAAGGTGAATACTCAATTAAAACAAAAATGAAACAATTATTCATTCAAACCTCTTTACGAGTACTTCATTAAAAATTAACAATAGTATAACATCATTATTAATTAATGACAGATATAGAGAGAATCTAGGGTTACATGTGTAAATGGCACTAGAAAAGAAATAATTAACTTATCTATTGTATCTATGCTAATGTTTGAATAATTGGATCATGGTTAAGTAGTGCATTATGTGATTATATTATTATAATTGTTCCCTTGAGCTTCGAGTGGAACATAGGATTTCAACACCACATCTCCATTTAATACAGTTTAGATTTTCCCAACCGAAGTGCTCGGTCTCAGGTTGACATATCGGCTCCTTGTGCAGATGCTTCGAAGACGTCTTGTCATGTAACTTGAAGTTAGTTGGTGGATGGTGACTAGCAGTGGGATCCAGAATGCGCATTTTGTCCTACTTGGGACTTGGCATCTGGATTTACCAGCATTGTCCAGTGAGTGATAGTGTTCCAACCAAGGTACGCACCCAGTACCCTTAGTTTCAAATGTCAAAACATTATCCACTAGACCACTTGGGCCACGAGAGCATATCTCCACGTTTTCTTGTTCTGAGAACTCCTCTTTACATGGCCCCACGATTGTTCATAAGCTGTCATCTCCTGTTCACACGATGTTCCACGTGTTGTCTTCAGATCCATACCCAACTCGTCGTTTCCCATGTATGCTCCACTTGAGGGTGTCTCTGGTGTGCGATGTTACTTGACGTTCTCCTCAGAGTGTGTCTAATCCACCTGTATTATCCTCGGAATATTTGTTGGGTAGTGGATTTCTGATTGGTTCGTAGTCTGTCAAAGTTTCTAGTTGACCATTTCATTTTTAATATGGAGCCAATGAGGACAGCGTTGTCGATAAAAGTCTAATCTGTTAGTTCGCTAGTTTTTTAACCGGTGTCATCTTTCAAGAAATACGCCAGATGAATTGTAGGTGGATCGGATGCATGTTGAGGAGAGTGGAACTCGAAATGGAAACGACGAGTTGTCTGTGCCTCCGAGGTTGATATGGAGGACATCATATCAAGAGGAAATGAAGGTTAATGGACAATCATGGAGGTAGACCACACAAAGATCACAAAGAATAGAGTGAAATGGAGAAATACTATGTGAACATCGGCAGCAATCACCTTCACTGCACCACTCGTTATGCATACTTATTTAAACAAACAAGCTGTCCCGAGATCTTTTCAACTTTTAAAAAAATGTTAATTCCTTCTCTTTTAGATAAAGATGTAACCTACTTTAAGTCCACCTGAATACTAATCACTGTATTTCCTTTCCTTTTTTACAAATTCTTTTAGGTTTGGTTTCAAAATCGACGAGCTAAATACCGTAAACATGAAAAATCACGTACTAGTAATCATGACACTAGTGGAAATCGTAATGGCGGAGACATTAGCCATGAGACATTTAATATGCTACCTGATACTCAAACACTATGGAATACTCTGAATGCGTATACATCAACACTAAACCATTTATTACCTAATCATTCAAATTCATCATTATTTTCCACGGATAATTCAACGTCTACGCCGATAACAACATCAATTACTACTTCAAATATTTCACAAGATAATCATTTACAATCACAATCACCGTCATCATCATCCTCATTTCTGTTAAACGATGACATGGATTCAAAAATAAAATCGATGCAAACAGTAATTGACACATTGAATACAACATTGAAATTGAATCCTGCACTTGATTATACCACATTAATTAATTCAAAAGATTTAGCAAATATCTTAATGGGATTTAATGGAAATCAAACAACCTTTCTAAAATGAAAAAAAAGTTATCTAAATTTTTAAAAAGATCATAATTTTCAAAGATGTACACATATATTTCTCTAAAATCTTTCGATTTCTTTTTTGAAGTAAAGACATTTCGCGCCAATGTAAATAGATAACTTGTATTTGGATTAAACAAAGATGTAAAACTATTGTACATTGAAAATAGTTATTATTATTATTAGTAGCAGTGCTGCATTTATAATGATTGATATCTGATACTGTTCATTTATTTACTCCATATTCCATATAAATATGAGCTCATAAATAATACTTGGTTTGGTTTTTATTTTTTCAAAAACTACGCTGAAAGTTGTAACCATTTTTAGACTATGGGGTTTGTGAGGGATTCTGGATTAATTTTAATTTCAATTGTTAGATTTTTGTCATCAACCAACATCAGTTAGAAAGATCATTGAAATCCAAGGAGCACTTGGCAAGTGATTCGTCCCGTTCTGAGACTCTTCAGTAGCGTACTCCCACGATGCCGACAGAGATCGAACCTGGGACCTATAAGCTATGAGACCGAACTTGTCGACTATTCAGCCACTTAAGTTGGAATTCTGACCTTTTCAGCTCATGGTATGAAGTTACCTTCACCAGTGCCTTCGACCAATATCTACTTCACCTTGACACTGTGAATTCCACTGGCCACGACTTATGAGTACAGATTCACGACATCCATCCAGTGTCCATTTATGAGTTGAGAATTGGTATTAAGATCATAGAAGTTGTAGGTGTTTGGAGCAGTTTGATTTGAAATGTTGGAGTTTGCCAAGAACCAGCATTAGTGTAACGACCAAAAGGAGTGATTGTGGTCTGAGCATAAGAAACCGATCTTTGAATCCTACCATATAACCTTTCCAAAGGTTTCTTGAGAGATATAGAATGACAAAACGCTCCAAAACCAGCAAAAAGTGGATTGCTTATCGATAAATCTATGTGCTTCTATAGAACAATAATAGCATTAAAAACTCGAAATCACCTCAGAGGTGTCGTTAGACAGCTATACAATAGTCATCAGAACATTCTAATACAAAACAAGTATTGTAGATCAAAGTTATTTTTATTTCCTTGTGTACCGGGTGAAACATAAGGCTTCAACATCACATCTCCAGTTTCTTCTATTTTCTGCTGTCCTCTACAGTTGGATCCACAATTTCTAATAATCTCTCATCTTCTCCTCTTCACCACACTATCTCCTTCCTCTATGTAACCCTCGCACTGACCAACCATTCGTCGTGTTCCATTCGGTTTCCACTCGAGTGATGTATGGCCTGCATTGCCTGGGATGTCATTCGATGGCCTCCTCAACGTATGCTCAATCCATCTCCATTTTCTCCTACATATTTGTTCAGCGATCGGCTAATTCTTTATAGCCAGCCATCCCTCACCCTATAACTCTAATATGGATAAGATTTTATTTTGATAAATCACACACAGTGGTGTTGTACAGTAATATTTACTGATGAGACATTCCAAGCACAAATTATTGCTCATAATCATATCAAGTTACTTACACAACTTTATTTCTCGGAACGTTATCAGTAAATATTACTGTACAACACCACTGTGTGATTTATCAAAATAAAATCTTATCCATAATAGAGTTATACTCTACCACAATGCCCAAGTTTTATACTCTTACATCCCATCCTATGTCAGTAAAAGTAATAGAGCACAAAAACTAAGTAGTACCACGGAAAATCTAAGACAGGAAGTGAGACAGATAATTGAAGCTTTGGAATTTAATAATTACCCTAATAAATTAATCATGAAGTATGTAGGAAAATAAATACTGCTACAGAAACTTCAAGCCTCTAGCTTGAAGCCCTATGTTCCACTGGGAATGTGAAGGGGAAAAAATGTAGGAAAATGTGAAAATAAAATTAATAATATTAGTAAGGATAGTGATAACAGTAATAATGATATATTAATGATGAAATACATATCAACACATGCACAGGATAATGACAACACCAACAACAGGGAATATAAATCATCAGTAGTACTCCAATACAAAGAAGGAACCTCAGGAACCTTACGGAGAATTCTTAACAAGGCAAGAACAAAAGTGGTTGGCATTCAAACCTACAAACTCAATTTGAAACAAGCTTTGTCGGTTAAAGGATCAGTCCTGTAGAGCCTTTAAAACAAAACACTTCAGTTTATTTAATGGCCTACAATGATTGTCAGGTCAAATACATAGGTCAAAGTAGTAGAATGGGGTCAGTCAGACTAGCGGAACACAGAAACCTAGTAAATTCTAAATTAGTTGACCTTAATAAGATAAGAAATCTAGAGAATAGTTCAGCTATATCACTCACTACATGCAATAAGCACACACAACCATACAATAGGATGGATGGGATAAGATGACAGTTTTAAAATCTAATGTAACAGTAGTGTGGAGGGAGAGATTGATAACGGAAGTTTTGTTTATCGAGTCAACTGCAAATACGTGTAACAGGAGTGATTCAACACTTGTCCGGCCAGACATCTGGAAATTTCTACGACAAACAGGAAGGCATAAAGAGGGCTATGAAAATCACATAATGTAGTTGATTTTGAGCAACCGACGAAATAAATGATGATACCATCTTATTTTGCACAAACTATTGCTTTTTCTTTACTCAGGCTCATAGAAGGGGAATAAGTGTATGGAGTTTCGAAGTTGTGTAGTTACAATTATGATATGATTATGAACGATAATGAATTGTATTCAAAATATCATCCATTAAACGATATACTACTTCACTGTGTGTATGTTAGATCCAATAAACAAATTAGCTTGTAGTCAATTTGTTTTTTAGGCCATTTAGGTATATTTGGACAATTACTTCTTATTGTGTATGTATATCCACACCTATATGGAAATTAGCATACAATATACACTTTCTTTTCCACGCCTTGCATCTCAAGAGTGGAATATTGGGCTTCATACTTTTAAGTTGGTGGATAGTGAATAGCAGTGAAATCCAGAATGCGCATTTCGTCCTATTTATGACTCGTCATCTGGATGTACTTGCATCCCCCAGGAGTGATCGTGTTCCTACTAATACTTGAATGTAGTACCCAACCTTCCAAATGCTTAGGCATTATCCCACAGACCATGTTCGGTTCAGTCAACAAATAATGCCTGATGCACAAAAGGTGGCTGTCTTGACTCAATTGGTCAACTTCATAACTCTCTGGAGTTTGAAACGATGGCTACTGGTTTTGAGTCACAATAAAAACACCATTACTCACTGGGGAATGCAAGTAGATCTCAGATGACGAGCCCCGAATGGGATGAAATGCTCATTCTGGATTCCACTGTTAGCCACCATCCACCAAATTACTTCAGATTAATCCTCAGAAGTTATTGAGGCGGCTGTATTAGGTAGGAGTTGACATGTTACCAGAGGCCGGACATTTCAATCCAATCAATCAAAGGGGAAATCCAAAATAAATTTAAAAACAACTAAACTAAATTATTTTCCAAGTATTGGTTTCTGCAGGGATTTTGTTTGATTGGTTGGAGGATTTCATCATGAATTGACATCAGTCAGAGAGCCATTGGAAAACCTGTAGGGAGTACTGGACGGATGTTTCGTCCTAGTTTGGGACTCTTCGTAGTGCACACCCACCGGGGTTAGAGCCTAAGACCTCCTGGTTACAAGGCAAGATCGTAGACCGTTAAGCCAATGGGACCCGATCCGACGGCCGATTCAAGACATAGTGCGAGCACTTCCCAATGTCTTCTTTGATGAGTTACTGCCTTACCCTCAACCCCCTGTACTCTACTGGTCACGGCTTCCCACTAGAACCCCAGGTAACTGATTGAATAGAGCCAGTTGCCAGTTTTTGTAGGGATTTTGTTTGATTGATTGGGTAATTTCATCACGAGCTGACATCTGTTAGAGAACCATTGGGAAACCTGCAGGGAGTACTTGACATGTCCTGGGTTCTAACCCCGTTGGGTGCGTACTGATAAAGAGTCACAAACTAGGACGAAATAGCTGTCCAGTACTCCAAGGTTTTCCAATGATTCTCAGACTAAATCGTTTTCCAGCGGTAAGCACCCACCGGGATTCGAACCCAGGACCTTCTGGTTACAAGGCGAGCTCGTATACTATTAAGCCACTGGGACCCGATTCAATGGCCCATGAATTCTAACTTCTGTCAATTCACGACATAGCGCGATCCCTAGCCAATGTCTTCGGCGAGTATTTGTCCTCACACCCGACCTGCTGCACCCTACTGGTGGGCGCGTACCACTGAAAAGTCCCAAGCTAGGACGAAACATCTGTCTAGTACTCCCAGGTTCTCTAACTAATGTCAGCTCATGATGAAATCCTGTAACCAATCAAATCCCTAAAAACCAACACTTGAATGTAAATCATTTTCATTCAGTATTACTATTGAGGAATTACATTCTTATATGTTATCAGAACATCGTAAAATGTAAAAGATTTGAGTATTAGAAATTGGTGAGAATGTTGTCATGGTCTAAGCAGAAGAGCGTTCATTAAATTAATGGAATTTAGAAGAAAAGAATGAATAGTGATAACATTAAGACAGGAATAAATGAAACAGATTTACAATGATCCATGACATTTATGAAGAACTGACAGGTTTCAAATTTCAAAAAAATCATCAGTCACAGAGTCATTTAAAACCAAGAAGAACTGTTCAGCTATTTCATTCTAGTTTGGGACTCCTAAGCTGTGAGTACCTACTACCCTACCAGGGATCGAACTCCCTACCATCAGGTTATAAGATCATCAATGTTTACCATCCAACCACTGGAACAGAATCCAGTAACAAATGAATTACAGCTATCAGTTCGCTATATGGTTTCAGCGCTGAGCTATGCTGACAGTCGCATTCTGTTTATAATCTACAAGATAGGCCACAATAATGACTAACACTCATTAGGACTTTATTACATCCATCTAGAGGACAGTTACTGATCATTGTAGTTACAAGCTCTATAATTTTTTTTCGGAATGGAA